TTTAAAAGGCAGGTTAAATTGCTAAATTACTACACTTCTTATTTTTCGACAAAAATGAAGAAAATAAATATTTGACTAATTTGAATTGTTTTCATTTGAATTCAAAGACACCAGTGTAAGGAAGGAAATTAAACAATCGAAGGAGAGATTGAAAGTGATGTGCAGTAGTGTTATGTTTAGATTAAAACTGAAGGAACCAACACTCAGAGCAATCAATATAATGAAGGAGTGCTGACCTTCATCTGCAGCCACTACAGAAATCTGTTTCCATTTTCCATTCTTTTAAATTTAATTCGACCATCATTTTGCAGGAGCAGGCGCCATGCACATTTTTCAGATGAAAATCAGTTTTGCTTCTCAGAAAAACCCTTCATATCACACAGTATGTACTGAACGTGGGCCAATCCCGAACCATCGCTTCCGCCTCGGGCAACTTGATGCCTCATTTCAGCTGAGGCCATTAAAACGGCAGGAGGATCCGTGCTGTCTGAGCCCACATTTTCATAACACAGTCCATATGTTCGTGTGGAGGCTGCGACCGCCACAGCCGCGGACGCTGAGGTTTCCATGCAGTGGGTGGGTGGGTGGGTGAGGAGGTGAGGGGGGTTGTATGGGCTCAGGGTGGGCCTTTCATCCACAGAGGTGATGGAAACTAATCTGCAGGCAGGATCACAATGCCGGGCCAAAGGAATCCAAATTCACTACCCACCCACCACCACTAAAACTCCCCCCTTTCACTCCACCCTCCATGGGAATGTGGTTTCCTTTACACACACACACACACACACACACACTGGGGTTGAGGAAATCAGTCAGCGTTTTTTTCTGAGTTTGCATTTATTAGAACACTTGTATAAGGACAGTGTGCATATGCGTGTGCTATGCATACAGTTCAGTACGTCCATTAGCGTTTGTGCATTGTTCATTGGAGCTCATGTCATGTTTGGTAGCATGAGGACATTTATGTAAAAATTAAGACATGCAAATTTATATCACTGTCATTTTCATATCCATAGGTTTAAAGCATGATTAAGTAGTTATTTACCTCTGACTCTGAGAATCTATTGAGGGCTTTTTCTCTATTATCTGATATTTCATAAACACAACAATTGATAAAAAATAAAAAAATCCTTTCCTTGAACTTTTTTCAACACACATTGCTCAATATGCAACACATATTTTTAGCAGGTTTCTGCAGCCATTAGGCCAGACAAAGCTCAACTCAGCTTACTTTGGACAAGGGCAAAGTTATTGGAACCTGGATAGACAAAAAGCAACCAATCTGTTTGACCATGTGGGAAGTGGTCAGACCATTTACCTTGAATCCAAAAGAACATTTGAATTAAAGTTGAAGAAATCCCCTGAAGGTGTACACACGAATGGGAAAGATGGATGGATGAATGTTTTGGATGGACGGACAGACAATCTGATAACACAAAAACATAATCCAACCACTGGCAGGAGACATGATACGTAAAGGGAAGCAAGTAGATCAAGTAATGTTTAGTTTTTGATAAATTCGCTTTCTGGCAGAAGTGAGTTGAAAGTCAAACCATTGTGACATTCCTCAGTGTCGGATTCATTATGCAACAAATAAAAGAAAAGAACACTTAAGAAACAGCTCCAACTGCATGCAAACTGTGTTATTAGATTTGCAGGTCAAACACAATCACTTGATCTTCTTTATTTACTTCTTCATTGTTATTTGGCTTGTGTGGCTATTCTTATTGAAAACAGCTTTGGGTCATTCAGATTAAGTTAAAATGTTTGTTTTATTAACCTTAACCTCAGGGACCTGCTCACAATCAGAAAACACACTTTAAACACTGTCAACTTCACCAAACGCTGTTACGTGAAATGCTGTTCATGTAATTACAACCCACATCTGCCACAGCTGATGGAGACCCACATTAGTTGTCAGAATGTCTCAGGCTGCAGATTCTACCTGACAAGTCCAGAAACACACAAACTGTGTGTGTGCGTGCTGGAAGAGCTGCTCAGGGAGCAAATTAGAGAAAACTGCACAGGATGCAGTTGAGCGAGAAGATCTGAAGGAATCACTGACGACTGATTGTCCAAGACAAAGGAAAATAAACATCTGAGATTGGCTTACAGTAGCTGCTGGTATAAAACAGCACAATGTAAGAATTGCTCACAGGTACACTCAGGGTCCCCCTACAGGTAGGAGGCATAGTTCCTGTTTTAATCACCGCGGTAAATATAAGTTGCACTTTACGTCTATACATTTATACCGTCGTCCAAAGGAAAGGATTCCATAACTATGCTCCTCTCCGATCAGCTGGAGATGATTAGCCAGGTTAGCATCTGTCCTGCTCATGCCATGGTGGCTCCTGTAACCTCTTCAGTCTTTTGAGCCCTTTAAAACAAATGGTCCTAGACGGTTAGAATGAGTCTAGACCGAAGATTAATGAGATCTGGTAGATTACAAAAGAATTTGGAGTCTTCGTTTCAGAAATTTGTTACCTCATGCACATACAGGACTGCTTCATGAGGGTCAGTGGTCATAAGCTGGGTGCTGTGCATGAGCCTATTCTGCCCACATAACTGAACCTGTCCTAGTATCCTGTCCCTCCCTGATCCAAACTCTACCAGAAAGAAGACATGTCTATAGAAAGATGGAGAGGTAATAGAAAAAGAAACAATTAATTTAATTCATTGCAAAGCAAATCTGAAACTAATTCCAGAAATGTCTATTCGTATCAAATATCTCGAGACGCTTGACTTGTGTATTGTTAAGGCTCAAGGAAGTATAATTTTGAAGTTGCAATTTAGAAACACAACGTGTTCATTAAAATTAAATAAACAGATCACCATTGTTCTGTAGGAATGGCAGCAGGAACTCATATAACAGCCCATTCGTGAGAACATGTGCAGCCATGACAACAACTGATTCCCCAGTTCAGTGTTCTGCTTCTGAGGTGAGCTTCACTGAACAGCTCTTTGTGCAGCAGTGGAGGTGCAGCTGCAGGGTTGTCCAGAATGAGTCTGAGCTTACTGCAGGTCACTTTGAGAGTATTAGAACGAAAGCTGCAACAGACCAAGCAAACAGCCCATTCCAAACAGGCAGGTTTTGAACAGGCACTGAAGTAGTTTTCCTAATTTTGCATTTGCACGACTTTAAGCTTCTTAGCATGAAAACACTCTCTGATGTTCAAAGCTCATAATGAATGAACACAGAGGATCTAAGATGTTAATAAACACACGTTTTACTGATGCAGTGAGTGAGTCAGGTTTCTCTTTTAATCATATGTTTTGCCATAATCTAACAAGACAAACTATGCTGCGTCTTTCTCTAGATGGAAGTGTTGTTTAGTTGGATGACATATTTCTCATATGAAAACACACAGTTAAGAAAAGGGAAAATCCATGTGTATATTTAACAGAGGGACTTGCAGGGACCGGGTTCACTCTGACTTTTGTCTCCTTGGTTGTAAATATACGTGGTTAACCACTGGAATCTCTGCTCTGGCTGGGTTCAAGTGCTGGGTTCACATGTAATGTCATTTAATCAGCACAGTGACACTCTGCTGCAATGGGAATACAAATTAAAAAAATATACATGCATTTGAAAATACTAGTTAACTGCTTCTGAGAGCCTGATGAGTTCCTGTTTTTTCTGCTCCCCACATTTTCTCAGGGGTTGTTGAGGATATGTGTTCTTTACATATTAAATTGGTCTAACAGCGACATAGTGGCACAGGATTTTCCATTAGAGTCTTTAGAGAAAGATGTCAGAGAAAGGACTGAAAGTTTAGTCAGGAAGACTTTACCCCCATTCAATCAATCTCAATGCTCTCACTCTCTCTATGCTTCATAACCTTAACTGGATCCTCAACCATGACCAGTATCTAGACCCCGGGGGAATTCCTGTACTCTGTTCCTATTCACCCCCATCTAATCCCATAGGGGTCTAAAACGCCAGAAGACTATAACATTCACATCACTTTCTGTGTGCATGTCAATAAATGTTGTTAAAACGTTGAATCAAAGTATCTCCAGATTGAAGTTTAGTTATAGGTGCAGATAAATACCTGCATGCCTTATTCGGTCAGTTACCCTCAAATCCAAAAACTACTTGTTAGAACAGGAGTTATTTAAATGCCCACTGTAATATGTATGAAGTCATATACTGTTATTATATATTATATATTGAACCTTCAGAGTGGGTCCGAAAGTCAGAGACCACGGTATATATTGTTTCATGGTCAAAACGCCTGTAGCTTAAATATTAACCATCAGGATTTCTCAAAAATGTATTGTTTGTTTCTGACAGAAAGGCTGCGGGAAGTCAGGTTTGGTAAAAAGACCAGAACAGAACATTTAGTGGTGGACTAAACTTTTCACCAAGCTGGCGTTTGTATTGGGTTTCATGTTTTGAATTTCTTAACTTGGTTAGGCTTCTGCTCTTACAAGTCCTGAAGGCTCCTGTGTGTCTATAATGTTTCAAATCTTACAGTTTCTTCATAAGTTATCCAGATATTTGCATTTAGAGAAAAAAAAATACTTCACACATCTTCACACATTCATATTCACCTAATTGTTGATGTAAACATTTGAAAAATGCACTTTCCTATTCTGGTTTACATTTTAAAATGACATCAAAATGAAGCAATTTTTCCTGAATTCAGACTTGATTGTAGAAATATATAGTTTTACACACACACACACATCAGGAAAACTGTTGTTGACAACTCTGTGTTTACGTCTTTCTTCCTGTCTGATCCTGATTGAAACGGATGAGTTGAGACTTTTCCTCCAGAGGATCAGACCTTAGAGGAGCTCAGCAAACTCACAGGGATTTAAAAAGCTCTCCCCCCTCTCTCTCTCTTCTCTTCCCTGTGTGTCTCTCTGTCTCTCATCACCCTCCCTCGCTGCGCTCTAATCGCTGTGTTGTGGTCGCGAGGCTCTCTCCTCCCTCTGCTCTCCTCTCTGGGCTGTATATAAGTGTGTTTCACTGGCTTGTGTTTCACAGTGACAGACTGAATGCAGGCCTGATGGCTGTACGGAGCTGAGGTCCACCATGACCCCGGGAAAGAGGCCCCCTGCAGACTGCTAATTATCTGGTGATGTGCAGCATCTACAGGTGAGATGTTCAAATCAGGGACCAGCTTTCCACCATGGTTTCATAGTTTTCATCTCTATCAGGTTAAAATTTGAAAAAAGTGCTCTGGCGTATCTTTTATTTTGCTGCACAAAGAGTAAGATAAGGTGTATTTTTAAACCCCAGGTGGTTGGAGCATGGATTTGAGCGTCAGGAAAAGGGAGAAGAAGGAGAAAAGGGGAGGGCCCTGTCATGTCAGGAATGTTGGGTCACCCCTAACAACTCTCTCACAGTGAAGAAGGCTTTTCTCATTTCAAAATTGGACACACGGGAGCACGCTATTCTTAAGTCTCAGTGGGTTGAGTGTTTAGCTAAAAGGCTGCTTATCTATTGGTAGAGTTTCAGTCATTTAGCAGATGCGCTGTCTCACAACAGTAAATGGTGAGACATGCAGACAACACAGGAGGTCATGGTTTCCGGGGAACGTCAAAGAGAGCACAAGTTCATCAGAGGAGGCTATAAAAAGTTCCTCACTGTTTATGGGAGCGTGCTGTTTTCCAGTCTGCCCTCTCCGCACAGAGACAGAGCGTTAGAGTGTCTGAGGTTAAAGATCAAACGCTGAGCCGGGAGCCTTGATTAGCTTACAGGATTTCAGGAGTGCTTTAAGCTCCGCGCTGAAGTGAGATGAGGAAAGAACTTTACTGTCTTAAGCCACACAATAATATACTGATTCACAACAGAGCCAGATCAATACATCAGTAGTTGATTTGTTCAATTCTGGAAAAAGTATTGCAATCATCCAAGGAACAAATATTGATGAAACAAAATATTCTGTCACATTCCTGTTCTCCAAATTTAACTTTCAAAGTCTTAAGTTTTGGTAGCAAAAGTAAAACTACTCATAATGCAGAAGAAGCTTTTTGAAAGTGATAAATTATGGGCTCCCACAGCATATTTTTTCTTATATACACAAAGTAATCATTTGTGGGACAACAGTGGCTTTTATGTTTTACACTAAATACATGGTTGTCTTAAGGAGGAAGTTATCAAAAATGCCAGTGTTAGAGTGTATGTGTTTGATAGTAACCAAAATAGTATTTGTCTAAAAATCAATGAACAGAGTATTTCTTTATTTCCCATCTCTAATTCTGTATAGGTTCAATTGAATACATAGTTTCATTGCTGAAATTGTTTTTAGCTGTATCTTGACATTAACCTCAACCAAGCACAACCCTCCCATTAGATTCAATCAAGTCAAATTGTCATCTCCCTTGAAGAAGAACTATTTTTCACAAGATCCATTAATTATTCATTGAAAGTTGGAAAAATTAGAAAAAACTAAAATAATAACTTTAAAGTGATAGAAAATGACTGGATCCCCCCTTTATCCTGAATTTAATGCTTTCCAGTGTTTCCCATAAATTATCCAGACCATGGCGGCCCACCATATTCTAATTTGCTGTGAACAATTTCATAATGAACCTTTTTTTTTTTTACACTTTTAACTTTTAACTGGGTGTGTGGAGTGCTATTTGCTGAATGCTCGCTCACACTGCTGTGTTACTGCTTGTTCGCACAATGGTTCATAACGTTTTTGCACAGACAGTCAGACCTCATAGTTTCAGCTGCAGTTGTGGCATCAAGGCAGATCTTTCACTCACAAGAGAACGTATCTTTAACTCTGTGAACCCTGTTACCACCATAGATTGAAGAAATTCTGTGGAAAATGCTGTTTTTTTCCCTTGATCACCAAGTTTCATGGAAATCCTCTGTGTAAACATACACCTTGGTAGAGCAACTAAAACAAAGATCCTCAGACTGTCAAGGTGCTCTTTTAAAGAATTTATCAGATCCTGGGTAGAAACTAATTTTCTGCTTTCCTTTCTTTATTTTTGCTCCATTCATTTTGTGTTGTGTCTTCTTAATGAGATCATCCATCTGTTTTCTCCATTTGACAAATCCACCCCAAACAGAGTGATTTCTGGAGCCTCGGCGCTCACCAGGCGCTTTGGCTCAGCTGAGTGGAAAGATTTCAGCCTTGGTGGTTCCCGCTCTCCGAGTTTTTAATACACAATCATCAGGCTCTTGCAGTTATACTGTGCTCAGATGTGCTGTTTGCTCTGATTTCTGAAACGTTAAATGGCTAAAGTCATTTTTGTGACTCAAGTTGCTCCAAAGCATTCAGTCGTCTCTGCTGCTGTTGACCCGCTCTCTCTGTTGAGATGTGACATTTAGCCCAGAATGTTCTCGAGCTTACAGGAAATGCTGTTTGTTAAAGGCTGCTAAAAAATGGCTTTAGATTATTCTACTGCAGCATGAGATGGTTCATTGCTGTCATTCCATTCAAAGTGTCCACGCAGTCACAATGAGCCTGTGTAAGTAGTGATGTGACTTGGTGTTGGAACCTATTTACATGACAGATGGCTTATGTGAGAAAATCTGGTATTTTGGCTTCTGGCCTTCAGCCAGCCATCAGGGGTTCGGCTCGATTCCCAAACATCAAACCCAGCGAGTGCTTCTTCCTCTCCTGGCATCTCTGAATGTGCTCAGTGTTTTCATCTTTCTATCCTCTCAGAAGTGCCTCCATCACACTGTCAGCTTCATTCACTCCTGAGTTCGAAATGCTTTCTTTGGGTACCAAGTCCTTGGTGAAATGGGACCCTGCGAGGTTGCTGAGGATGTTGAGGTCGTGCAGTGGTACTCTGAGCCATGCACCAACAATAAAAACTGTCTTTACTTCATCCCCGTTTGAACACACAGATAGGACATCATACTCTGAGCTGTGCAGGTGTGCCAACATTCCTCCCTCTTATTTTCCTCTTGACCTTTGCCCTGCGTCATCTTCTGGTTCATGGAGGCTGCTCAAAGGCCGACCAACCCTCTGAGGCTCGATTTCACCCCAGTTTTCCAGCAGAGAAAATGAAAATTAGACACTCTCGCTTTTCTCTCTCTTGTATTTGCTGAATGTGTGGAGCCATTCCACAAGAACCACAGACATCAACAAACTCTTATCTTAATCGATGCCAGGCCGACCCACGGCTCCAAGCTCCTTTGGATAGATAATTCACATTGACACAAAGCCGAACTTTAAACATTAGCTTCAATGTGTTTAATCTGAGGCTGCTCCCTCCAGCTTTTATCGTGATAAGAACCATCAACCGTAGCACATGGTGGTTTTGGTCCACTGCAGCCCTTCGGATTGACCCAGACTGTGGTCACAATTTTTTGTTTTTTTTGTTTGTGCCTATGATTACATTTAAATTGCTCCACAATCAGCCCATCTACTGTTTGGGAGAGTGTGCTACCCCGAAACATAACAGTACTGGCTCTGTTTTCACACACTGTGTTTTTAGGCTGGAACAATAAGTTGGTCAATCAGTTAGTCGTAAGAGAAAATGACTCTGCAGCAGCTTGATAATGCATAAATAATTTCAGTCCTCCCAGGTTGTTGGACTTTAAGTCAGATAAATCAAATCATTCTATATGAATTGAAATGGAAATTAAAAAGATAAAATTTAAATCTGTGCTGCACAGGTAATAATGGATAAGTACAGTTTCCCCCAATGGTTAATGTTTCATTCACAATTTACATGAAGAATCATGAGCCAGCAGTACTACATACAGTACAACTCTAGACTGTATGTAGTACTGTATGTATTATAGCCTTTATATCGACTATTGATCAAAACTGAAGCACCTGAGATAGCTGACTGTACACTGCAGCTGTAATAACTAACTAGTGACAGAGTAAATCACGCAACACTGGTAAACACTGTAAGATTTGAATGATACTCGACAGACAGAAGTACGGTAGGATTCTGATTCAATGTGAGTTAACATAAATTAGTGATGAAATTTGGGTTATTAAGTTGTTTCTGAAAAAAATCTCTTCTTGTTCTGATAGCCATCAATAATAAAGTTGTCTAGAGAAAAAAGTCAGATTCAAGCAGTTGTCAGTCAGTGCTTTAGTGGTGTTGCTTTGACAAGAGGGCTGATGGGAGGAGGTGGGATGTATCAGTTGGATTTTGTGTAATTGTAGGCTGCTTTTGTTAACTTTTTTAGGATTACCAACCCTGGCTTTAAAGCATGTAGCAGCTGTCTGAAATATAAAATCTTGCAGATTGTGACAACAAATATCAAACGCCTGTTCAGATAATTTCATACTTGAATAAACTAGAATTCAAAGCTTTAGTCTTTACAGAAGTGCACAACCCATGTGTACAAATCATTTTTGCATAATGATAGTTAACCGTAAACAGTGGTTTTTATATAGAGAGCCAGTGTAGCATTATGGAGGTCTGGGATTTCAAGCTCAATCAGACAAAATCATGAGGAATCATCCTACAAGGAGAAATTAAACAGGTTTATGAGCTCAGTTAGAGATGGAAAACAGGCTTAGAGCAAGTTAAATAATGGTTATAATCAGAAACATTCCCATCATCAAATCATGTTGGCATTGCTCTCTGCCAGGCTTCATATGGAAGCAGTTTCAGCTCAAACAGAGAACCATTAAGCAGCCATACTTGCATACATTTACTGCAACCCTGCGAAACATTCTCAGCAGTCAAATTATTTCCTAACCAACAGGAAGAGACTGGCAGGAACATAAAGAGAGGAAAAGACTTTGATTCCAAACCGACAGAACTCTGAGAGGGAAAAATGAACTAATAACATTTAAGGAACCAGATCTGTACAGTAGTTTAAGAGTTCTACTACTGACTTAAAAAGTGGAACATTGTTTCAGACCATGCTGTCATCCAGAGCTAGAAATCATATACATTGAACTGATGAGATGGTTTTTTCAACATAGGAAGTGTAAAATACACTATGATCTTTATTAAAATGGTTTCAGCTGCTCCTAAGTAAATAAAACAGCCAAGACACCTTTGAAAATAGTTCTTCTTTGGAACACTAATGGCATCTTATGTTGACATTTTTCAAAACATGAGCGTCAGTCGTGAAAGGTGAACCCGCGAGTCCAGTTACAGTAGAAACGCTGCAGTACAGCTGTTAGTAAGTGTGCACTAAAACTCAAGTATGTGACAGTAATCTCTGAAACAAACACATTGTCAGTGCAGACATATGATGAAGGCAGGTGCAGGGAAGAATATTTAAAGTGATCAACAGGAGTACAGATGCTCCTGTTGGTTGGAAAGTTGGCAAACAGATAATACAAAATTAAGAAAATTCTCAGAAAACTAAACTGAACTGTAACATGAAATGAGACAACTGACAAAGAGGAGTCAAAGCACAGACACGAGGAGGCAGGGATCAGTGGCCACAGGGGCCGACGATAACTAGTCCAAAGTCAAAAGAGTCAAAAGAAATTTAAAACTTTTAGAAGTGATCAAAATCCAAATAATGCCCGAAAGCAAGACCGACTGTTAAAGCTAGAGTAGATATGTGAATGAAAAGTCAAGGAGTAAAAAAATAAGACTTGGTATGTGGGGTAAAAAGTAAACTCTTGAATTTCACTCAGTAGCAAAGAAAGAAAGAAATCCGACTTCTGATTTGTGCGTCTGCTGCTCTCGGACTGGATTTTTGGTTCAAGCAGCTGAATGTGCGACGCAGAGACACAGCAAACAGGGAACCTCACTGAGACATTTGGCAGGAAAGCCTGTCATTGTGGCCTGAGGCTTCAGCTCTGGTCAGAGGGAGACTAGCTGTGGACAGGAACGCAGCGGTCTGTACAGCTGAAGTCCTTGTTCCGTTCATTGGGTGTCAACTGATTTCCTCTTTGTGACCTCTGACCCCTGTTAGTCATGGAAATGAGCCAAAAACTATTTAGAGCACATTTCTTTGCGCTGGTCAGGAGACTCAAATGTTCAAATTTAAAATAAAATAAATGCAATAGTAAAAGTCTATGTATCTATCTGTCTATCTTCCATCCATCCGGTTGTAGCTTACTGTATTCTCTGATTTCTTCTTTTTGTTTGTCTGACAACTTCTTAATACATTATGACCAACTGGACAATAAATGAGGAATTACTTTATTATGACACAAGGTTGTGCAGACTGTGAGGATGCTGAATACATACCAGATGTTTTTGCAGGTTTAAAGATGGAAACACAGCTCAGCTCATCAAATGTTACAAGCAAATGCTAAAGTTTTCATGATCTGCGTAAAACTCCCAAATAATGAAAGAGAGAAGCAAGAGAATAAACACAAAATAAATAAATAAAATGATCAAGCTAAAATAAAGTTGGGAAAACTCAGCTATAACAGTGTAATCAATCAAATTCTTGTGTTTCAATCCCTCCCTTTTATTCTATTTAGGATGATTGACAGCTGCTCCTCCTGAACCCAAGAATGCCTGTGGTGCCAGTGGGTGGGACATCCTCCTCCCACCAAGTCGTACCTGTTGCCCTCACCTGCCCGTGGCTGCTTCTTCTCTTCCAGACCGTCTTTGGTCAGAAACCTGCCAAGCTGCCCTTGATCAACCGGAAGCCCTTCATTGCAGCCTGGAACGCCCCCCTGGACATGTGCACCATCAAGTACAATGTCACCACCAACCTTGACCGTCTTTTCCACATCCACGGGAGCCCACGTGCTGGCTGGACAGGACAGAATGTCACCATTTTCTATGCCAACCGGCTGGGCTACTACCCTTACTACACCCCGCAGGGCGACCCCGTGCATGGCGGCCTGCCGCAAAACTGCAGCCTGGACATGCACTTGCTGAAAGCCTACCAGGACATCAACCACTTCATTCCTGCAGAGGACTTCCGGGGCCTGGCTGTCATCGACTGGGAGTACTGGCGGCCTCAGTGGAGCCGTAACTGGCACAAAAAGGACATCTACCGACAAAAGTCCCGGGAACTGACCGCCAAGGTGTATGTGAATGTGACAGCGGCACAGGTGGAGGAGCTGGCACGGCGGCGATTTGAGAAAAGTGCCAGGGCATTCATGCAGAGGACTATTCAGCTGGGAACACGTCTTCGCCCCAACGGGCTCTGGGGTTTCTACCTCTACCCTGACTGCCACAACTACAACATGCATGATCAGAACTACACAGGCTTCTGCCCCCTGGTGGAGAGCATGAGGAACGACGAGCTGGTGTGGCTGTGGAACAGCAGCACAGCGCTCTTTCCCTCTGTGGCAATCAGGAAAAGTCACACAAACAGTATCAGCAACCTGCACTTCTCCCAGCACAGGATCAGAGAATCACTCCGTGTGGCCTCGCTGACTTCGAAGGAATATGACCTCCCCACATACGTGTACCTGAGGCTGGGATACCGGGACGAGGCCATGGCCTTCCTCACCTCAGTAAGATACAAAGTTTACAACAGAATAAGCATGAGCATAATTTACATTGGACAGTTGCCAGTCTACTGATGAACAAAAGCATAGTTAATTTCCTAAACAATGTGTTTCAATGAAGAGATATGTGTCCAAACTCCTTTTTACAGCTGGAGTTCTATATTGTGCCTCCAACATTACATGATGATCTACTTTCCTTGTCATGTGACTTCAACTTTACTTTACTATATTCCAAGCCAATTGCCTTATCTTATTTGTGAATTTAAAAGGTAAGCCTACATACACTAATAGATAGGGGTACCATGTCGTTAGAGTGTTACTGTGCATCGACAGGGGCCAAAAGTCAGACCTCTACAGGTATCTAATGTCACAGGTGTTTGTTTGTTTGAGTATTAAATTAGTATTTTCTTTCAGGCCACTATATAAAAGGTTTATATATATATATATATATATATATATATATATATATATATGTATAAACATTTACATCTCTGGATTTGTCCTGCAAGGTACTAGAGGGTAAAACATCAGTTAAACCAGGTAGATTAGTAATAAATAAACTGCATTAATGTGTATCATACATAATTAATATATAATTATATTTAAAAATAATTCAATTTAGTTTGCAGCACTAAAAACACTTTGTGTGGTATCTCTTTGAACATAAAAGTCTTTCTCTTTAATTACTTTTTTCAGTAAACAAGCAAAAATCTACCAACTTGACTCACAGTCAAATAATGACAGTATAGCAGATGTACAAAATAAGATGGAAGTGGCCTTAAATAGAACTCACAGGCAAACAAGCTCTGAGTCTGAAGTTCGTCATGTACAGGGTGAACTATAGTTATAGCTTTGTGCTGAGGGTTAGTCTGTGACCAACCGCACTGCTTAAAGCTAAACTTTGTCATACAGGCAAGTGTTTGGGCAAGAGGTCACTGTGATCAGTGTTATCACAAAAAGGCAGTGGAGCAGACTTTGCATTAGAAAGACCAGTGACTGCACAGGTTGGGGAACAGGGCAGACTTAGAGGAAAACTAAATCTAGAATGAGGAAGAGTAAAGCAAATCCAAGATGTCCACTGCCATAAAATCCAGTTGGACTGTGGTACAAGGCTGTATGTATGTTCCTGTCAATTCAAACTGAAAAATCTCAGCAGAAATGATTAGTTATTATGGGATGTCACCAGCAGCATGAGCTACTGAGAGCTGAGGACTGGATCAGGAATAATGGGGAAAGACTGGAAATTAAAGCAACCATCCAACCTGCAACATCATCAGTGACATGCAGGCAGGCATGAGCAAACTACCTAAAGTGACTGATTACGAGAATAAAGTCGGGGTTTTAAAAGTCACCAGGAGTTGTTTCTGTGTTTGAGCTGGTCTCATTTTTATATCTAAACTTCATCACAGTCAACCAGAGATTTCTTTTAGCAAACTAGCCTCCCATCTCACACCGTATGAGCAGTGTTATAAATAAGCTTTGAAATGTATGTGTTGAAAAATATGAGTCAAAAGCTAAGTTGTCACTTCAATTGACCTCGAAAATATTTTTAAGCGCCTCCTTGTGGCTCTTTGCTCCATGATTATTCACACTGTTCAGAATTCAGATAGCTGTGTCTTTTTAAATGTATTACTTTAAATAAAAAGTATTAATTGTATACTGTTCTGTGAACCATGTGACAATAAACAGCACTATGTCATTATACCTCTGCTGCAGTGACAGCCAGGGGCATATTTTAGAGTTGTCCTTCTATCGTCTGTACATACGTGTTTCCCACTGTCATGAGAATGATATAAACTGATGAGATTTTGGTGGTAGTCTGTGGCTGTTCACAGATTTCTTCAGTCTTCACATTATATTACATGTCTGAAGAGACTCTATTTTTTGTTTTGCTTTAATAATCAAATACTTTTGGTTCATTAAACCAAGGGTTGGTAATCCCGGTAAAGGCTACACTACAAAAAATACAACAGATGCATCCTACCACCTCCCATCAGCCCTCTTCTCAAAGCTACGTCCCAAAACACATGAGTGTGCACTGACTGACAACTGCTAAAAGCCAGTTTTTCTATGACTTGCTCGCTAACTTCTGATAACGGTCTCTTCTTCAGCAATGTACGTCTCGCCGGCTTGTGAAGACAGGTTATGTGCAGGGAGAGCATGGGCAGGGTGTGCCCAGGTTGGTTAGAGATAGCTAGGTGTACCAGCCAATCATTTAATTTGGACAGAATGATTATAGTGATTATAACATTTTTTACAGATTATTACAGTCCTGCGAGAGCCACAGACACCAGCAAAAACTATTCGAATTATAAAAATTCATAAATCCATTATCTGCTTTGTATTTTGTCTCTGTGCCTTTGTCATTTCAGTATGTTTGATATTCAATCTGTGTCAGTGTGTCCATGAGTTATGACCTCTGCACCGCCTCTTGTGTTTTCCTGCAGAAAGACTTGATCCACACCATCGGGGAGAGTGCTGCTCTGGGTGCTGCGGGATTTGTCATTTGGGGCGACCTGAACTTGACCTCATCCAGGGTGGGTGTCCTCTATTTCTAATCATTCTCCTACTTTCTGTAAAAAACAATCTTCTCATGGGTCACAGATGGAGAACGTCCTCCAAATCTCTGTCCCAGCTAATGGCACAGATTATCGAAATAGGTCATATGCGTTGTTGTAGCCAAAGATCTGTCAAACTTTTTGCTAGTAACTTTTTGTGCTGTTGAATCTATTGTAGTCTGAATTTGTATTTTTATGTGAGGGCCTTGATTTGTTTTGGAATCCAGACCAACTGTCCCTGTGAATAGTCAGAAAATTGTATGTTGACATTGTGAGGCCACTATGTGTTGAAATCACTCTGACATAGTATAATGCATGTATGCTTTGGCTTGCTGTGATCCTGCCTGCATGGAGGAAACATGGATTTGGACCTGCCTTAAATTAAAAAAGCTTCGATAATCTTTCTTTTATCCCTAAACCTTTTCAACCTTATCTCCTTAAACTGTATGAGCTTATGTTAGAAAATACCTGATGTCAACCTTCATAATCTTTGAACACCTTTACTGCCACCAGGGAGATTTTTGGCTACAGAGGGGCCAAACAGCTGTCTCCCTCCATGTCATACAAACCAAAGCACATCTGGCATCATGTTTGTTCTGTGTTGTTTTGTCTCCACAGTCTAACTGCTCCAAAGTGAAGACATTCCTGAGGTACCGCCTGGGTAAGTACATCATGAACGTGACGCGAGCTGCTGAGGTGTGCAGCGACTTCTTGTGCCAGGGCAACGGCCGCTGTGTCCGACGGGACCCCCGCGCCCGCCATTATCTACACCTGAGCGCCAAAAGTTACAAAATCAGTTCCTCTAGCAGCGGGGACTTCACTGTCACCGGGTGGCACTCTCAACACGACCTGCAGCTGCTGACTGAGAGGTTTCACTGCCACTGCTATGAAGGTCACGAGGGCGAAACCTGCGAAAGCATCAACAAAGTGAAGGAGGACGATGGGCCGTGGAGGGAGGGGGAGGAGGACGAGCAGGAGAGGAAGAGGACAGAGTGGGAGTACGAGCAGGATGAACAACTGGAAGTAGGGAAGAGTGCAGCGCCCCTAGGTGGCTTCAGCCTTCACCTCATGTTGGTGCTGCTCCTGTGGAACTTAGCGTTGGTAAAGACAGTCGTATGATGCACGCTGACAAAAGGAGAAGTCATTTTTCAACAGTAGCTATAGATGTTACTTTTCCATGAACAAGATGTCTGCCCAAGTAAGTGAGGACATGACAAAGTACTAATTCAGCCTCATCATTTAGTCTTTAAAATGTCAAACAACACTAAATATTTTCAGTCCAAAGACTCAATTCCTCAGATTTATTTCTAACAATGTCAAAACTAGTTGTGTATAGTGAGGCTGCATGCTAACATGCTAAGAATAACAACGTCAACAGTTAACATTTGCTATATTAGTCAGTTTTGCAGGCATTTGGTCATGAAACAAAGTATTGAACAAAAGCAAAATTCTACCTGTTGATGGCGCTAGTTGAAAAATTAAGGGATCACCAAAGTCATCCTAATGAGGGACATGAAAATCTGGACTATATTTCTTAGCAAAACATGCAAAAGCTGTTAAGATTTTTCACTAAAAGTCAGACACATAAAACCTAAAAGGCGTTACCTAAAAATCAGGGATCACCAAAGTCATTAGGATTTATCATATAGGGACCGTGAATGTCTGCACATAACTTAAAGGCAAATAATCATGTAGCCCGTAGTATCTGCCCCAAACCAAACTAATGGGATGTTGGCTGTGGCTTTGTATATACCATACAGGCATGACTGTGATTTCAGTCTTCTAACTCTGTGAAAAAGTGTATTTCTGAAATGTAATAAGAGTTTCTTTAATGCTCAGCCAAAGTTGCTGCTGAGTGCAGGAGAAACATTTTAAAGTAATGGTGGTTTGTGTGAAATGAATGTGCTGTGTTGAAAAAAAAAAAAACACTTCCTTATTAAGAAGTGTGATGGCACAGAGGTTTGGTATGTTGACAGATGAAGGTTTGGTTGATTGTATCACTGTTCAACTTGGGAAACAATCACCTGAATGTTGCCGCAGTTTCTGCAACAACCTGCGCTTCATCTTTAGCCCACATCTGCATCAGCTTTTCAAGGAATGTTAATTAGTAGATGTATAAATATAGAGTTGTGAGTCACCTTCAGCAAAATAAATGTTTGACATGATGATTCAGCGTCACTGCAGAGCAGAGGATCGGATCAAAGTTCACGTTTTTTACTTTGATATAACTTTGCGAGGCAGCTGGATTTCTCGCAAAATCCATGTTATTCAGAACCACAGTGGTTCGTACCAATCGGCATCCTATGAGGGAGGAACTACAGGCATGTCTTAGGTGTGTGGCAATAGCATAAAACAACTGTTTATTAACAACAATGGCAACTCCAAAAGGGGTTAGCCTATGCTGCTATAGCATTAGTTATATAAGAGTTTGAGAGTATTTCTTCATTGAAAGATGAGCAAGGAAGGGCACTGAGGGTTTTTGCGATGAATCTGACAAGACTCAGTAACCGTGATAGACAGTGAAAGACAGATGATTCATCCAATCACCTGCCAAGAACTACTTGAAAGTGTTGCATGTTCTTTTCCAAACAAATTCCCAATGAAGCCTTCTCACATGATTCTGTGTAAACAACCATTTGATGCTCCCGTTTTTAAATGGTTCACAGTAAAATCTGGCTTACTGCAGGAAGAGCATCTTGTTTGCCTCTAAGAGGAAACTAAAGGGTTGTATGCTGCACTCAATCCTATGTGGAAAGATAATAACTAAGGTCTGACGCTTTGCTTGTTGTATTTTTGACATTTATTTCTGATATGAAACCTGTTTATTTCCTCAACAATAAGCTGTTATTTCACTTGTTATTACATACATATATTGTTTAAGTACTGTTGCTTACCCTATACTCTTGAAGTACTCTGGTGAGGAAACGCCACATATTTGAGCCTGTGTGGGACATGGCGTGCATTTGTTATGGGTGCTATTAATCAATATAACTTCATTTTTGTTGGGTTTATTCCTCAAAACCAAGATATTGTGCAGAAGTTACTATATCAAAGTCTGGAAGAATCTGATCCACAGGTTGGGTTAAGTTTTGGATTTTATTTCATCTCAATGTGGCTCACAGACGGCTTCTGTCTCTGGAGCTGGGGGACAGTAGGTAAGAGGAAATATTGTACAGGATGTAAAATATGGCACAATATCTGAATACATGACTCAATGGTTTTCAAGATGTGTATGGTCAATGCCTACTTCTTAAAGTAGAGCAATACATTAAAAGTCCTGCTAGTGAACAACAGAACACATGTGAGGGATCTTTATCGATGTGAAAACTCTATTATTTTAGTATTATTAATTCTTATTAAAGCTGACAAGGACCTAACCTGAACACATCTGAGTCCAGAGAAAAAGGTTCTTCCTGGTTTGTTGATGGCTCCAGTTTAAAACTCTTGGTCTGTCTCTGTGAACTGTGAAACCTGGTGATTTAACTGCTCTAGTCAAAACAGCCATTCACTATTTCACTTCATCACCACACTTGTCTCAAGGGCTGCAGTCAGCATTTACCTGTGGCAGCCTGCACACAAGAAGCACAGCAATCTGCTGACAAAAGATTTGAGAGCAAATGACAGACAGTAGTCTGTTGCTCAAATGCTAAAGTGAGCAGTTGTTTACTTGACAAGGACCTTCTGTTGTGTGGATTATGATTTGTGCCTGTTGGGTCATTGTCAGAATGTGTGTGAGTGGCATTGAGTTATAGTGCCACAAAAATTCATGAAAAAAAACAAGAACTCTACTATGTATGGTTTGAGTGGATTAGAATAAAATAAGTGCAGCTCCCAAACATCTAAATAGAAAATAGGATGCTATTACTACATTTCCCAGCTTGCATTCCACCACTGTAAATGTGTGTTCACACACTTGTGGAGTGTATTTTAGAGGCAGCATGATTCATGATAGAATGTCAATGGAAAGACACAATTAGATGCACATTTTCCACAAAGACAAGAGGAAGAAGAGAGACTGTGGTGCCAATACTGCACAGCGTTTCACAAAGCACCTCCATGCATTAGAAATAGTTGCCATGCTCAGCTCTATGTTAAAAAGAAGGCTGAGGTAGATGTTAGAGTGTAGTATTGAGATACTTTCCATGATCAAAATTGTGTCTCTAAAGCAATAGTAATAGCGCTCTCTATAGGTACATGTGGTGATTTATTTAGTTGGGCTCCAGCGATTGATAGTTGACTGGAGCCCTGAACAGTGGATATTACCCATATTGCTGAACCAGAAGAGCTGCTGCTGTAACAAATCCACCAAACGCTGTTTATGATCCTTCATATTTTAAAAGTTTCCTGGCTGAATAGTGGAAATAGTGTGTTTTTGAATGACTCTGTTTTAACTGATCTAGAGTTCTGCAATCCTCAGTTCATACTGGAATTAATTCTGGCAGTTGAAGTTTCAACTATCAGTCTGTTAAACACTTCTTAAAGGAGATCGTACTCACTCACCAAAGTTACATAGAGCAAGAACAGATGTTCAGGGTGAAGACTGGGACTGAAACGGGAAACATTCTCTCTATTCCAACTCAGTCAACCATCAAACTCATTTGAAATGGCTATTGTAAGGTTAAGAAAAAGTTGCAGAGTGGTGCTTTAACTCAGTTCTTGCCTTGTAAAACATCTGGTGTCTTTCCATTGACCTTACACACAAAATTCAATTTGCACTCAGTCAGAAAAAGTATTAGCTGTGTCTCCATCCATTTTTGTCCAATCCAAATTGAATCATAGACCGCAGATCTGAAGCATTTAAACTCAAACCAAATCCAGAGCAGAGGTGGACTTAAATCCTGGTTTTGGTCATTTCATCCAAAATGAAGGTTGAGTTTCTTTGAAGTGAAACATGTAGCAGCTGACATGACTCTCTGTGACATTGATCCTGGTTTATATTGAACCAATATTTTCATCTCAAACAAGCCTCACAAACTGTTTCCTTTGCTTTTTTAGTTTTTTCCTTTAAGATTGTAAACCAAATATGCATCGAGGACTATGCAACACATGAAAAATGTTACCTGAATGTAAATGCACTGCAAATAAAGACTTTTCTTCAGTACCTCTTATTTTCTTTATGTTTATCTGTGCATATACATTTCCGGGGTGTTGTTGCCGGCCATGCTGGACGATCAAAGCAACCACCTCCACTTTGTGCAACATGTGCATGATGAGCCTTAAAGATATACAGGGCTACAAGTGTGAATGCAGACTTTCATTGTATTTCTTTTAATTTCTTTGTAAAATACACAAGGTGTAAATAGTCACTGTACTCTTTTCAACACATGAGCTGTTTGGTCAAAACACTGAGGACAGAAAAGAGGAAGAGGTGTGGACACAAAGATGATTGTCTCTGCTTTCTCACCAAAGATGACTGGCGACCCTGAGACTGTTTCATCTGAAGGAAACTGTCACATACATCTACTGTTCACCAGTAAAGTCAACCCCACATAAATTGTCCTTTTTAAATAATGCTGTCAGCCATTAAACCTTTAAACCCCTCAGAACACAAATAAATAAAATAGTTACTGATCAGTCACAAATTAAATTTTTTTTTGGATCAGCAACACTGTGATATATAGTGACATTGGTTGGACTTCTTAACCCCATTTATAAATAGACATAGCAATTATGAAAATACTTCCTCATCAGGACAAATACACATTTTTACAACAGCAGAATAAAGTTTAACTGAGTCCTAAGTTTCTTGCAATGTCCACAAAGAGAAAGATACCGTTTTTAGACATTTGTGTATTATCAAAATATTAAAAAATATATACTAAATATCAATCATTTAAATTTCAAACTGAAATTATAAATAAATAAATAAATTGACGTCCTGCAAAGACCTTCCATTCAGGCCACACACTGCAAGATGAAAATGTATGTTAAGCATAAGGCTTATTTAAGGTGACTGCATGTAAAGAGGAGGCCACTATTCTGTGGTACACTCCACACATCATAAAGGAACAAAGATGCCTTGAAAGAGTAGTTATCAATACTATCAATTTACTTGATATTTCGTAAAACCCAGTGGTTGAGTTATAAAGCGGTTAAATTATTTTACTCCAACCTGAAAAGACCAAGAGATATTCTACCCAAATCTGGACCTGTCCATCATTTGAAAGATGGGGCCCCAACCTGTGTAGAACTGAGAAACACTGGATCCAAGCCCAGCCAGACACAGATCTTAGGTTAACATTAATCACAAAACCAAACTTTGTGTCTTGCCAAATGTATTGTCATCAGCCGTCTCCCCTGTACCTGGCTGTGATGCATATATAATCCATCCTCCAAGAAAGTATATTAAATACATCCAGGTTTTCTGTTATTCTTGCTGATTGAAATTGCAGCATGGCAAAGATAATCCACAAGTGATTTCAGATTAAAAGTAAATTTATTGTCCCAGTGATGGACAAAGGCAACTCGTTTACAGTCAGCTTTGCATTTTTGTTGCTGCATATCAAAGATAGCTTTGACTATTTGCCTTTCACCAATATCATGTTTTTTACCATGGCTGCTAACAATGCTAATGGCTCCTACCACCATCATCTGCCCTCTCCAGACCAGTTTGAATGCTTCTCTTGCCACACTTTCTCATCCTACAACTTTGCAAGTTACAACACACACACACACACATACACAGGACTTGCTTCAGTGCTGTCTGTCATGGCCAGGACCGGGTCTTCTCAGGTTCTACACATGCTGTTCACCAGACCCAGGACTGTGGTAATAGAACATGACTGAGTAGAGATCTTCTTAGGTCCACCCGAACCATGGGACCCAACCCCAGGAGCTGTTTGAGTTTGTCTTCATGTTTTATATAGCCAGTGCGGTCCAGACCTCTAATCAGCAGAAATGCAAACTATCTAACCAAAGTTAATATCTATGATGGGGTGAAATAATGCCAAGCCTAACTATAGCCCATATTGTTGCCTTCATGACGTTGTTGTACATGTTTGTGCTAATAACTGCCCACAAAACAAAATGCTATCTCTCTGTAGTTTTGATTGTTAAATCCGACATAATAAAACATGTAAAATCACAAACAGAGGCTTTAATACAACAGTCTGTCAGCGTACACCTGAGCCCTGAATCCCCCACCCCTTCAACAACTGACTGCACAGTGGTTGCAGGCCTGTACGTCAGGAAATCAGTCAGATAACCATCGATCAGAGTGAAGAAACTTCTCTCTGCCACATGAATCAGCAATTAGACACAGAGAAGTTCAGAAACAGTGAACATTGCTTAACAGATCACTGAAGAGAGCAGCAGGTAGGAACCGATGAAATGTTGCAAGACTATTAATAATCCAGATTTCACATATATCCTGTAAAATACAGGAGATTTTATGGGAAACATTGAAATAATGTGGAATCAATGATCTCACCAGCTTTAACGCAGCCGGTGTTGCCCGGGCGATAGAGTTTCTATTTTTCTCTTTTGATAATTTTTTGTAGCAACAGTCAACTATTAGATTGATTTTGTATTAATGCTGGATTATATTTATTTAAATATAGGTTTGTGATCTGATAATGAAGTGATGGTCCTATTTCTATAACATATTAAGTCTTTGGGTAATAAGCAATACCTCGCCTTATTTTATACTTGTTAGATCTTTAGAAAGATACATTTCCTCTGGTAAGTGGAGTTTTGACCTTGGCAAAGTTGAAACTGTGGAATTAAAACTTTTGATAATGCACTGTTTGGCAGGTCTCATATTTACCAGTGGCTTTTCTGCAAATGTTTTTTATACTGGCCTCAAAATAGTTAGCTGGTTATTAGTTGAAAATCATGTTTATTTCTCAGAAAGATAAATAAAGGTCAGTGTTAATTATAAGTTAAGTGATAAAAGTTTGGTTGTTAAAAGTACCTGCGAATAATCAAAATATTAAAAAGAAATAGGAAATTGATGTGGAGGGTAATTGTAAAATGGGTTAATTCACAAACAGATGTCATAGACAGAAACTTTGGATCAACTTGTTACGACGGGACTGGAACTGCAAAGACAAGTTACTGCTGCCAGACATACATACCACCTGAGTGTATTTCTGTGGTTTGATTTAAGTTGATTTAAGATGAACAGCACTAGCACTGCGCCATAGCTTGATTTTTGCAGGAGATTCAAGTTGATGACCCGTCTCACATATAGGTTTTTTTGTATTTCACTGGTAAGCAGACATGGCTTAAACCAGATACTGTGCAGTCTGGCACAAACTGAGATCAAGAATAATTAGAACCAGCTCACACAGTGTGATCACATGGACCTGTTAGAGCTCTTGATTTGATGAATCAAATATATTTATTGGGATAGTGATGGTTCTGTCTGTGATTTTAAATCCACCACAAAAAGGTATGACCAGGATTTGTATACATTCTCTGCATCTAAGGTAATAGCATGTATATTAATGGGAAGGGACACTGGTTAAGACTCGCTCCTAACAGTTTGAGATCGTCTCTTGCGAATGAGCCTAAATTATTTGTTTTCTTGTTGTATCTTCTATTTTTCCACAGCTGCCATGATGGCCATGCCCTTTCTGTCCTGCACTGTCCTCTGGATCATTGGATCTATGACCACCATCCTTGCCCTCCCAATTACTGAGCCGCCACTGATCCACGACCACCCCTTTGTAGCTATATGGAACGCCCCTACCGAGCGTTGCCAACAACTCGACATCCCTCTGGACACAGCAGCCTTTCAGGCAGTGACCACCCCCGTTGTCAAGCCCGGTCAATTCCTCACCATCTTCTATGAAAACCATCTTGGGCTCTACCCTAAAGTCAGCACCATTAAACGCAAGATCTACAGAGGTGGTATCCCCCAAAAAGGCAACCTCACAGAGCATCTAGCCAAGGCCCGGAGTCAGATAGATCATACCATCTACCACGATTCTTCCCCTGGACTGGTTGTCATTGACTGGGAGTCCTGGCGCCCCCTGTGGAACCAGAATTGGGGATCAAAACGTATTTACCAGAGACTGTCCCTCATTCATGCCCTGCAGATGGCCCCATTTTTATCATCACAGCAAATTTCCAAAGTGGCCAAGACACAGTTCCAGCATGCCAGCCGACACTTCATGGAGAGGACCATCAGTCTCGGCATTGGTGAGCGCCCGAGCCGCCGCTGGGGCTTCTACTTATTTCCTGACTGCTACAACTACAACTGGAAGAATTCCAATTACACAGGGAAGTGCTCTTCGAAGACTCAGAAGCAGAATGACCAGATGCTGTGGCTGTGGGGGCGCAGCACTGCCCTATTCCCCTCCATTTACCTCCACTACTCTCTTCGGAACTCTCCCCAGGCTGCACTTTACGTCCGCAACCGTGTCCATGAGGCGCTGAGGGTGGCAACGCTGCCCAAACGTCCTTTTACAGTGCCAATCTATGTCTACTCCAGGCCGCTGTACCGGGATCAGACCCAGAAGTTCCAGAGCTTGGTGAGACAGTCACTCGTAAACTAACCTGGTGTTGATTATGCAGTTGGCATCATGGTTCTTCCATTTTGATGTGCTCAGGGTCTTCTAAAATGTCAGATGTATGCACATTATTAGCAGTTTAGTTAGACTGAATTCCCATGTCATTTCATTTTGGGTCAAAACAGATCTGTTCACTTAACGTTAGTCAAATCAAGTTATCTATGAAAGTTCACTCACAAACCTGCACTGTTGCAAACATCTCAGTCATGCTTGATCATACTTTGATCATGATACATGTATGTCTGATGAAGGGAAACAACATTCCCACTCTTTATCCTGCATTTACAAAACTGGCTCAGGTGTTTTCCAACCAAGCAAACAGACATTAATAAACACATCACCAGACATATTTAAAAAATCTGTGATATACGTATTTCCCCTGGTTATATATTGAGGGAAAAGCTTGTGTTAAAAATGTTCTTTGATCAAAGCTTTTTCTGTCATATACATTTTGAGTATAAATATGATTATCATCTGTATGTCTGCAATGATTATGTGTGTTAATGACTGCAATTAACTATTCTTTGTATGTCAACAGGTTAATATAGTACAAAAAATGTACTGCCCATATTACTGAATGTGTTAATGTATGAAATGATAATGTTCCATGAATAAGTCTATTAGTTCGGGAAGTGTTGACTCTCCTGTGTGTTTCGTCTTCTTTCAGAGAGACCTGGTGAGCACCGTGGGAGAGTCTGCTGCTCTGGGAGCTTCAGGGGTCATAATGTGGGGAGGAAGCAAAGACTACAACAACAAGGTAACCACAGCTTTGTCAAGTTTAATCACTGGTTGTACCGGTCTACTCTCAGTCAAATAAGGACTTCAAGTCTTTCTGCTTGCGCACAATATTCACATGCGATCGTGAATATACATACCTTTACAAAAAGTATTTGTGAAAAACATTTTATTGTTTTTCATATTTTCTTGCCGAAGCAGAGGAAAAACCAGACATCATCACCTATAATTGAAGACAGGTCTCTGCATATGTTTGCAGCCATGATAAAACATTTCACAGATATGAAAAGAAGAACACAGATGACCAGGCTTTAATCAGCAAAAAAATAAACTGACCTTATTTCCTCTTTTAGGAGGAACTAAGAGCCATGACACTGAAGAATTTGTTATCTCTATTCCAAGTTCTGTTTTTTAATGACAGTTGTGCTTACATTTCATTTTTATTCCACCTTTTCTACATTTTAAATGTAGAAAAAACGTTTTTTGATATAAACTTAAAATCAGCTACAGGCACATTAAAATGTCTAATACCTTCAACTAGTGAGATAGAATTCTTTTTTTTTTTTTTTTATATTTTGTCGTTTTTGTATTTTTGCATTGGTGTTTATGGTTGGACTAGAGTCTTCACACGCAGTCTGGTTGAGCAGTTCAACTCAAACATTTTTTCACAAGAGTGAAGGGAACTTTGTCTTCTTTCACACAGTGGAACGAATTTCAGCAAAGGGTTGAGTGGTTTGTAATTTCACACCTCTGAGCAAAAACAGACTCTTCAGCTACTACCTGATCTTCAATGCTATATGTATATATATAATGCTCTCTCATTTTTGACACATATTACAACATGTGGACATGTTATCTGTAACACACACACGTTAACATTGCAAATGTAAAGATTGTGTTAAGAGGGAACTTGCATCCTTGAGCAATGTCAGAATTCAGTACATTTATTCTCATATTCTGTCCTTCAGTAAATCTTTAAACACGTCAAAAGTGAATGATGGAATCTTCAAATCCTTTTCAACCTTCCTTACTTTGAACTTCAATTACTTCCACATGCTTTCAGCTACAGACGACATTTAACACTTACACATTTCAGCCTCCAGCCATATCCATTTCCAGCAATGCTGGGATGTTTATTTCAGCTGTCAACATTCACATGCAGCGCTCACTATCAGCTTTCACAATAAGTTATACTCCAAAGTTATTATTACTTGCTTCAGCCAATTGTTTTACTCTATTACAATACAGCTGAATAGGTGTATATGGTTAACATCATTTTCAGATCTAGTAATGAGCTTGTCATCATTGAAAGGGGGAAAAAAACATCATAATTCTCTTTTTTAATGAAGGACTACAATTTACAATCCTGTGCCAGCACTGTTACTTAAATTTGAAAAGTCCAACTTCCAAATATCTTTTAGTTACATTAAAGTTAAATATTTGATAACATGTATTTAGATTTTTACTAAAAGTCAAAACCATTGGAAAGATAAAAATACAAATTCTTTAACTTTTTCTTCAGCTTACTGTAATGTTTTGTAAATCAAACAAATTTGACAGAAAATGAACTCTAAATATTTGAAAATGACAACAAAATTGTTTCAATATTCTGCTCTGGGACTTTGTTTTTTATATCACCTGCCTATGAATTAATCAATGGTTTAAAGACTAAACCAAACCTATAACTCTCTTTTTCCCTCTGTGCTAATATACCTGAGTCTGATGTGTAAATCCCGCCCCCTCCCTGCAGGCTGCCTGTCAGTCTCTGTCCGAGTACCTGACGTCTACCTTGAACCCGTACATTGCCAATGTGACGGCGGCCGCCATGCTCTGCAGTGAGCTCCTGTGCCAAGGGAAAGGCCGCTGTGTCAGGAAGAACTACGACACCTCCCAGTATCTGCACCTGAACCCCACCTACTTCAGCATCCTGCGGGCCAAAAGGAAGTATGCGGTGGTTGGTCTACCCTCCACCACCGACCTTGAGGCTTGGGCTGAACACTTCACCTGTCAGTGCTACGCAGGACAGAGCTGTTCACCAATACTGTCCAAACCGACCACAATCAGACAGATTTGGGTTTAACCTGTGATGAGAGTCATTAGTGTCCTCAGGCAACCCACTGATTTGATTATGCAATTATCATGCAAAATTTTAATGGTGGAAAAAAAATACATTTTTCGCATTTTCTTTGGCTCATTTGATAAACTGCACTGAACAAAAACAGCAACAGTACATTCATTCAGATTAAACATCATGTTCATTTCAGGACAAAAACATAATAATTAATCAGTTATTAATCAGAATTTGGTTACAAGTTCTAGTATTAGAGCGATTTTGTTCAAGAGGGAAACTAGGTCAAGACCTTCAATCACTCACATAGAAAAGTTTCCCTAATGTGGCATTCATTGCTAATATCGTTATTTCAAGTATGCAAACAAAATAGAATTCCATAAAAAAGTAAATCAAGATAAATAAGAAAGTCTGTCCACAGAGTTGTACATTAAGTAAGATCCAGTTAATGCCTACAAGACAAAGACAAATCCACCTTAAAAAAGTACATATTGGAGACGAGTCTGAAGCAATAGAGATAGGAATGTTCAGTAGTAGAGCATATCACCCTGCCAAGGCCCAATACATCCAATAAAACTGCACCGAATGTCACAAACTCATAGATATCAGTTCTCTAAATATGTCTGATTTTGTTTATCAAGATCTGGGAATTATTCCCAGTGAAAACTGTTCAATTGTTGAAAATCCTCATAATATTAAAGGAAATAAATAAATGTCTTGGTTTCTTCCCTGTCCTATGCAACATCCTTCCATGTTCCTTCCAATCCTTCCTTTGTGTAAAACATTTCAGTTGTTTTTGTGGAATCTTGCTTACAAACACAAGATCAACCAACAAATGGAGTTGGGTGAAAACATAACCTGCATGACTGAGATGAAAAACATGTCAGACCCAACTCCAGCCCTGATCTTAACACAAATTTAATGCTGGTTATAGTAAGTAAGTGTTTTACATCAGTACCACTATCAGAAACTACCATTTTAATAAAATATTGAGGGTTATACGAGTTTTGGGGTTTTGTATTTGCTTGATCAACAGGAGTAAAGGCCAGCCAGGGCCTGTTGTTTTTTCCTACTCTGAATTTTTGGCTGGATATTGAAGGTGAGCAATAAAAAAAATCAGCTAAAAGAACTTTTAATTTTCAGCAGGCGTCTCTATCTGCAGACATTTTCTCTTGTCTTCTGCCAGGAACATTAAGGTGTAATTAATGACATCACTGATGGATCCTTTCCATCTAGGTGTGTCAGTAAAATGGCACGAATACCAAATCAAGGGCTTGAGAGACGAGGTGCAGAGACGAGGTTAAATGGCTTGACTGCACCTCTTTAGCATCAGCCCCTGCAGCACATTTTACCGATGATGCATGAAACTTGGTTTCAGCAAGTATTGTGCCAGATGTACAAAAAACATCAGAATCCTAAACCCAACAAGAGGTTGGCCATTTTGAATTTAGTGGTTATTTTTGTCAATAACAGCCATTGAATTGAGTCCCGGTGTGAACATTTCTACATAATATTGTCTGTGAAGATTCTCAGTCATCCAGGTCATGGTATCCGCAGAAGTTATGTACACTTGTACAAACTTCTGAGTCTTCATAATATTGTTTGGTCATAGTGATAGAGCCACCTACTGGGCAAGGGAAACAACAAGCAGTGTTGAAAATTACATTTGCCATAATTTAATTCACTTTACAAAGACATCCGTGCTTCAGTGTGAACATTGATGACCATTGATGGCC